AAGCTGGAACGACTCGGCGCTTATATGCATTTTAAAATATATATATATGTTAGGGATCCTTATATGGAGGATTTATTTAAGTATATAGAGAGGAGACCTGCGCTAGTTCTGTGGCACAGAGCATAAAAGATTCTCATGTTTGCTCATTTGTGTGCGGTGTTAATGCAAAGATTAATAAAATGCCAACGTGGGGTGCTTAAAGAGACGACGATTGCTAAAGCACACGAGTACTGGAGCGCTGACACAGTTGATGTGAATCTGCTGAAGCCGTGGCATGTGATTCTGATTGCTGTGCCGTCCTTCGGACGGTCTTCCTGCGTTTGTGCCTGCTGCTGAGGTCCGTGCAGAGATTTAGGGTAGGGTTCTTGAGTACGCAGGGCAATTGGCGTTAAAGGGCGTTAATCTGCCTCAATTTTTTATTTACGTGCACCTGCAAGATCTGGATAGGAAAAGCTTTGCAGGTTTCCCAGTTAGAAATTGCTTGGTTTTGATTAGACTTCCCCTTACCTATGATACTGTGGTCTTAGTCTTGTGTAAAATAATTGTCTTGTTTAAGCCATTTATTACTTTAGAAACGCATTGTAAACTATAAACATTCTGTATCGCAGCTGTAATTGAAAAATGCTGGCTTACACACTAACTGTTCTGTAGGATGCTTACTAGTGGCATTAAAAAGAAAAAAAAAAAAATCAGTTTGCCAAAGAACAAAGGCAACGTTGAGGCATTTGCCCTCCATAAAAGTCGTCAAAATTATACCATTGTTAATGATGAGATACGCAACTTCTTTTCATCTATGAAAACAAAAACTGGCAACAAACTTGTTAGTAGATCATAGTCAAAGTTACTAATTTTCAAGCTATGGGCAAGATAACATTAACAAGAGTGTACTTGAGGTTAAGAATTATAGGCATACTCAAGTTGTAAATGTAAACATGAGTGGTGTTACCTGTCAGTAATTTACTAAATGTCATATACAAAGAAATAGCTCTGTTTTACTACTGAGGAGTACTTTGGAGAAATTCAGATTCTGTTATAGCTTGAAAGTTGTAGCATTTTATAGCAGCTCCTTGTCAAAGTAGTAAGACTGGATATGTTTGGGTCTCATATAGCACCTATGAAATACCTTTTGAATTTCCTTTTCAGTCTTTGTATTTAAAGTATGAGTTAAGTCTTTCTTTCTGTATTTGCATGTTAGTATATGAGGGTTTTTAAATTAGCTACTTCTGTCAAAATACAAATAAAGTTAGTAGACATCAAAACAAATGATGTAATAGTTACATTAAAGTGTGATCTATTTTGTAGCCTTAAATTGGAATGTGAGAAACTGGCAAGTGAAAAGACAGAAATGCAGAGGCACTATGTGATGGTAAGTATATTTGTTTTTTCTCTATTTCAGCAAGTATCTCCTAATACAATGTCAGACAGTGTAAGAAAATAATGTATGCTCCTTTATTTGCAGTATTATGAAATGTCGTATGGATTAAACATTGAAATGCACAAACAGGTAAGGCATTTTGTTTTCTAAACCACAAAGCCTGTGGTCTGTCTAGTGCATTTAAATGTAGCCATTCTGTTCATATATGGATGACTGTACCATGTGTCTGAATCAATAGGCTGTTTTGTAGCCCTGATTAGTAAACCTTTGCCTATCTGCTGTCAAATGAGGTATAGATTGTGTTGAGCAACAAGGTTTTCTTGGTACTGGTCCTATAGGACAGTGGCAAAAATAAGAAAGGCCTGTGCCTATGGTTTCAGAAATATAATGCGGTGCTTTACATGTTTTTTTGTTAGTGCTACAGCCTTTGATACGTAGAACTGGCTTTACGTGTGTGTAGCATACGTAGTGATAGTTGCTCAAATCCTTGCCATTTAAAGGTATGAAAAGATTAGTGACTTGGAAAGCTCTAGCTATGACTATGAGTTTGCAACTTCCCATAAAATTCACACTTATGGCCACTATAATGGTGAATAAAAAGAGTATTGAACTGGAACAAGACACTAAGGACCTCAGAAGAGAGGAAAAGCGAAATGATTGCTCAGCCCAGAGGACCCTGAATTGAGTAATCATTGTCTGCCAAATAAAGAATTAATGGCAGGGTGTAAGTATTCTGTAGATATGCTGACATTCACTTTTTCATCAAGATGCTGGTGTAATAAGTCTTTCAGAAATCGATGACCTCTTAAAAAAAATTATCATTAGCTGAAGTTGCACAGTTGGACACATTTCAAAGTGCAACAATACAATTCTTTCTTGGTGTGTATATGCTATTTCATCTGAAACTCTTGTTTCATTAAATTAAAGAGCATGGCTGACCGGCTAGGGCATAGCAAAGAAATTGATTAGTTCAGGCTTCGGATCTTCACTGTATTCAAAGACTTTCATTAAGCAAGTGAACTGCAGAGTTGAGTTTTGCTTTTGTAACTCTAAATGTTTTGACTTTTTTGTTTGTTTTGTTTTCCCCTAAAAATTCTATAATTGATAAGGTGGTATTGTAATTCCATGACAACTTTCTGTCTGCAAAGCTATGTAGGTGTTCTCTGGGTTTTTAGAGATACACTTGTTTGAATCCAAAATGCTGGTAAAAGAAGAACTATTATGACTGCCTCATTTTTTTTAAGGTAATGCACTAAATAGGTAGACAGAACAAGTAAAGTAGTGTTTGATTTGGTTCTGTACTGTAGCTGCATTAGTCTTCTTTTGTTTTATGTTTTAGAACAATATCAGTTTTTCTGTGGAGTGACTTTTTGAGGCTTTGTGATTTGGAGATTTCTTTCTTGGATTTTTTTTTTTTTTTCCTTCTAAACAACATTTTGGCACACGGTAACCTGTGAGGAAGCCAACATCTGTATAGCCTCATTTGGTGTGAAATGGATGTTGTTTTCAGAAGTTCTTTGAAGAGAATGCATGATTTCAGTAAATGTAGTAGGAATTAGCTTTAGATAAAATCAATTAAGCTCGCAAGAATAAAGAATATCAGAACTTAGGTTTGCCCTTTGACCATAAGATCTGTGTATAGCAAGGGTTTGATCTTCTGTATATATGGCAACTATAATTACATACCCAGTAGGCAGTGATACTTTGGAAGCTTTTAAGATTTATGACCTATGTTGGTTCTAGCTGGGGAGAATAGAGCACATTTGCTCTGTATATGCTGTTAAGAAAAAAATAAGCTTTTGAAGGCATAATACATTTCCCTGGCTATGAGTCTCAGATACTATGCTTTTACATGTTAAGTAATTCAAATTTCCAATAAAAGTAGCTCCTTCATGTTAAAAACTCTTGATTTAGGTGCCTACAATGAGGATATTAAATGGTGTTACAGTCAGCGTGTAGGTGGTCTTAGATTACAGGAAACAAAAAAACCTACCAATCACATTGTTCTGAATTTTCACCACTAACGATAAGTTCTGAGAAGGCTTTTGGCAGATAGTAATCATAATTCTTATTAAAACTGGTGACGTCTAGCCCCAAGGGTGTAGCCAGGCTCAAATTGATGCTTTTTGCTGGCTGATCACCAGCATGGCCTAAGTGCTCATTATGTTGCAGAGAGGGCCTTTGGAGCTCTCGTTACGTTTGACAGGAATTCTCTCTAGGGGGAAACTGGGCATTAGCTAGACTCCTGACAGGCTGAAATTATTCCTGCTTTATGGCTTATAACCAAATGCTAGCAAGGCATCATCAGGGGACACAAAAAATTGTCATTTCTGACAACATCTTTGTTACTGAAAAACGCAGTGATGGGGAAACTTTCCACTGAACGAGCTTTAACATTTTCAAGGCCTGCCTCCTATGTGGATGCTGCACTCTGCAATGAAGCCCCTTCAGAGAGCTTGGGCTGCTGATAGAAAAACAAAAAATTACACTGCAGCAGTGTTTCTTTATGCACTGTGGTACATGTATCACTGTTAAGGTAGGATCACTTCGATAAAATGAAGTAGTTGCCTATGAGAGGGTTGACTTCTTGTCCCTGATACAGTTGCATCAGCAGTTCCCTCTTCATTTAATTTGGTAATCTATTATAATTTGACTAAAAGAAAGTTAGTCAGGATTTGAATGTTACTATAAACACACTTAATTAAGGTGAGCTTTCCATATAAATAGCTGTACTGCAGAGCTTTCCACTTGAGTCTGTTACATTTGAGTCCGGAAATGGCTGTGGTAAGGGTTCCTTCACAATTTTAGCTTTGGCACTTTGCGGTGTTTAATTGCATAACTGTGCTTATTTCGAGGTGGTGGTGCTGCTGTATTTCAGCCTGCTGGCTGAGCAGTGGTCAGGAAATAATCTTTTTAGCATATTAGCACATTTGTGGCTGGTTTGTGGGGTTTTGGTTGGTTTTTTTGTTTTTTTTTTGTCTAGTTTCTGTGTGTGGGTTGGGTTGTTTGGTTTAAGAATTTCAAAGGTTAGTTCTTAAGAGGATGTTGTGTGTGGATTCTTACACTGTTTTCAGAGAAATTATTTTAAGGTGAGTAGTTAACTAAGTTTTGCATTCCCGAAATGGAAACAAGCACCTGATGATTCTATCAGAATAGATACAGTTGATTCAGATACTGTTTTCATATGTGTCAAAAGACAGAATGAATAAGGACATTTTGTGTGGTCTTAAGTTTCTCCTCTGTGTTATGCTGTCCAAGTCAAATTTTCCCCACTGTGACATCCATGGCCGGCAGAGCAGATGCATGTACTGTGAGTGCCAAGATGTAGAGTCGGTTGGGTGTTAAGAATCCACTGTGCGTACGGGGTTGCTGCCCTTGGCTATTAGGGCAGCATCTCTTTATTTTCACCAGCTCTGTCTGTCATCTTATGTCATAAGTCAGAAGATAAAGCTTCCTGTGTGCTTAATGCCTAGATTGTTTAGGTGCAAGATTAGCTTTTGTTCAGTGGCAGGCAGCCAAAGAAAGAAAAATTCATCATTGCTGAACCAACTGACCGACTATATAAACAGTACGTGGGTTTCTGCTTCCCCAAGGGTGACAGCTAGGTTTTCTTCTCTTTGGGTGGGTTATTGTGATCTCTGTGACCTGCCTGGAGGCAGACCTGTCATTCAGTACCTTGCTTCTTGTAGAAGATTATACAGACTCCCAAATACATTATGTTAACTAGTTGTACAAGAGCTAAATGTCTGTTTTAGCCTGGACTGTTTTGTGGAATCATTTCTAGTGCTCTACAACGAAGGACAAAATTTTATATTGATATCTCATTAGAACATCAGTCTTCAGAAGTGGGTTAAATAGAAGGGAATTAAGGAGCTTAGTTAGCTCTCTATAGCTCCTGAGTAGGATAGTTGTGCTAGGGATTTAAAGATAAATTATTTTTTAAAATTTTTTCCCTCTTGCATTTTAATTATTATAATGAAAAACTTCATGAATCCTTAAAGTTTTGGTGGTATGCAGTGAGTTGTTTCGAGAACAATTTACACTTGGCACTGCCACACAGGACATGTAAAACCTGTTTTTATTTCAAAGACAAAGTGGTAACGTTGATTCGAACATAATATCTTTCACTCAGAAAATTGTACTTATTCTACAAATACTGGGTTTCTAAATTAGTACAGTTGTATGACCAGTGTAGCCATTTCAACCACAACTGGAGTTGACAGTTTGAACAGGGAGGGAAGACTAGAGTAACAACGTCAACTTGCTTGACTTTTGACCACATTCAAGCTCCAGGCCAGCATTATTGCGAAGGAGTTATCCAGCAGATTCAGGGCACTGTGTGAAATACATCTTGATGCAGCTTTTAGATGGATGATATCTGACAATACAGTTATTATTTGAACTCCATATACAACTTACTCTGAAAGTACATCATAGTGTAAACACTGTATGTGTGTTAAGTCCTGCCTGATAATCTTGCATTTTAGACCTGGTCTACCAGATTTCAGGTTCCTTACATAACTGTGGAGGGAGAGAGGAAACGTGTTCCTACCAGCTACATTGCTAAACTTCACTTGCATTGCTGGAATTTACATTGCCAGATATCTGTTGATGTACTTGATGGATTAGTTCAAAAGGGGGGGAGGGGGAAGTCTTTGTGTTTTTTGGAGGAGGGAGGAGAGTAAGAGGGAAGATGCTCTGTGAATGTGCAGTACCCTTCTGTCACAACAGATTCCAGGGAAAAAGCTTAGCGCTTTTCTTCCTTCTCCTGGTTGTTATACCAAATCAAACCGAGCAGTTCTTCGCACCCTACTCTAGCACTTAAGTGTTTGTAGCAAAGCGGTAAAAATTGCCTTGTGTCTACTGTGGAAAATGTAAGATAGCATCTTCTAGGTTTGATAGGAGGTCACCATTGGCATACAGTAAAAGCCTTTAAAATAAATTTTAGGTTAACTAGTGCTTGTCACAAGACTGCACAGTACTGTTACTTTAAAAATTTAAAACAGCTTTGAGTAGAACTAATGAGGTCATCTTTCCACTTGATGTAAGATTTAAGGATAGCTAGTGACAATCATGTCAAGCTAATGTTTGCATCTTTTGCATCACACTTAGTTGGACTTTGAATGTAG